TTCCCAACGGGAACAATTCTCAATGGGAATAATCCCGAATTCCCAACGGGAACAATCCCCAACGGGAGCTCCAGCAGCTCCAGCCACCTGTGAATCCAAACGGGAATAATGGGAATAATTCCCAATGGGAATAATTCCAAATTCCCAATGGGAATAATCCTGAATTCCCAACGGGAACAATCCCAAATCCCAACGGGAATAATCCCAAATTCCCAATGGGAATAATCCTGAATTCCCAACGGGAACAATTCCAAATTCCCAATGGGAACAATCCCGAATTCCCAACGGGAATAATCCCAAATTCCCAACGGGAATAATCCCAAATTCCCAATGGGAATAATCCTGAATTCCCAACGGGAACAATTCCAAATTCCCAATGGGAACAATCCCGAATTCCCAACTGGAATAATCCCAAATTCCCAATGGGAACAATCCCGACGGGAGCTCCAGCAGCTCCAGCCACCTGTGAACAATTCCCAACGGGAATAATCCCGAATTCCCAACGGGAATAATCCCAAATCCCAACGGGAATAATCCCAAATTCCAACGGGAATAATCCCCAACGGGAGCTCCAGCAGCTCCAGCCACCTGTGAATCCAAACGGGAATAATGGGAATAATTCCCAATGGGAATAATTCCAAATTCCCAATGGGAATAATCCTGAATTCCCAACGGGAACAATCCCAAATCCCAACGGGAATAATCCCAAATTCCCAATGGGAATAATCCTGAATTCCCAACGGGAACAATTCCAAATTCCCAATGGGAACAATCCCGAATTCCCAACTGGAATAATCCCGAATTCCCAACGGGAACGATTCCCAGCGGGAATTCTGGCCTGGAAATTCCAGCCAGGAACTCCAGCCCAAGAATTCCAGACGAGAATTCCGGCCCTTCCCAGGGAATTTTCCAGCCTTCCCTGGGGATTTTCCAGCCCTTCCCAGGAATTTTCCAGCCCTTCCCAGGAATTTTCCAGCCTTTCCCGGGGATTTTCCAGCCTTTCCCAGCGAATTTTTGGGCTCATCCCAAGGATTTTTGCTCCCCCAGGAATTTTCCAGCCCTTCCCAGGGATTTTCCAGCCTTTCCTGGGGATTTTGTCCCCCAAGGATTTTCCAGCCTTTCCCAGGAATTTTCCAGCCTTTCCCAGGAATTTTCCAGCCCTTCCCAAGAATTTTCCAGCCCTTCCCGGGAATTTTCCAGCCCTTCCCGGGGATTTTTGGGCTCATCCCAAGGATTTTTGCTCCCCCAGGAATTTTCCAGCCCTTCCCGGTTTCTTTCCGGCCCTTCCCGGGTTTTTTCCGGCTCATTCCCGGGTTTTTTCCGGCTCATTCCCAGGAATTTTCTGGCTCATTCCCAGTTTTTTTCCGGCCCTTCCCGGGTTTTTTTCCCGGGATTTTGGCTCACGTGTTCCTCTCCGAGTTCGTCAGCGCCACCAGCTCGTAGATTTGGGGTCCCAGCTCCGAGGTGCAGATGATGAACAGGGCTCGCTTGTCTGGGGGGGAAATTCCCGGAATTCCCAAAATTCCCGGATTTCCCCAGCTCAGCCCAAGCCCCATTCCCGAACCCATCCCGCTTTTCCACAAAAATCCCCATTTTTACCCCCAAAAATCAAATTTTTACCCCAAAAATCCCCATTTTTCCCCCCAAAATCCCTATTTTTACCCCCAAAAATCAAATCTTTACCCCAAAAATCCCCATTTTTACCCCCCAAAAATCAAATTTTTACCCCAAAAATCAGATTTTTTTCCCCAGAAATCCCATTTTTTTCCATGGAAAACCCCGGAATTCCCGGAATTCTGTGTCTCACCCCAAATTTTTTGACCCAAAATCCCATTTTTTGACCTAAAACCCCCATTTTTTCACCCAAAAATCCCGTTTTTTTCCCAGAAATCCCATTTTTCCATGGAATTTCTGGGAATCCTGCCTCACCCGTGGCCACGGAGCGCACCAGGAGGGAGCTGAGGCTCAGACCCCATCCCCACACCCCAAATTCCCCTTAAAAATCCCATTTTTTCCCAAAAAAAATCCCATTTTTTCACCCAAAAATCCCGTTTTTTTTCCAGAAATCCCATTTTTCCATGGAATTTTTAGGAATTCCATCTCACCAGCAGCGATCTCAGGCTCAGACCCCATCCCCACACCCCAAATTCCCCCCAAAAAATCCCATTTTTTGACCTAAAACCCCCATTTTTTCACCCAAAAATCCCGTTTTTTTCCCAGAAATCCCATTTTTCCATGGAATTTCTGGGAATTCCGCCTCACCCGTGGCCACGGAGCGCACCAGGAGGGAGCTGAGGCGCAGCACGGGGCTGAAGCCGTGTTTGCCGTCGCGGCTGTGGCAGCGCAGCAGCCACCGCTCGTCCTGGCGCTGCAGCAGCACCAGCAGCTCCTCCAGCAGCAGCACGTGCAGCTCTGCAGCAACCAGAATTCCATGGGAACTTTTT